TGGATGAGATTTCCCTTTGCTTCATAAATGTCTTTTTAAAATAATTTATCTGTATAGTATGTTAGAGTGGCCTGGCTAGAGCCTTTGCATCTTGTGTCTAAATTGCTATGCAACATATTTCAAACGGTGACATTTGTGTACGCTTCTCACAGATTTGTTTTGAGTGTAGAGTGAGCCTTTTGATGTGAAGTTGGCCTTAAAGAAAGCTTGAAACTTTTTGGTGTTGGTTGTTGCTATGAGAGAAAATCTCTGGCAGTTCTCAAAGGACATGAGCCATGATCTATTTTAGGCCATTCCCAACTGCTGAGGGTGATCCCGAGGGGTGGATAACCAACTGCTTTCACACAGTCATGAGACTATATGGTGAGCCCAAAACACTGGAGGCTCCACTGTCCTTAATTAAATTTTAATATGATACAGGAACAATATAGTTTTCTAATGTAGAAAAGCATCTGTCCTCCCAGCACCACTGGTGTTAAAGTTTAAACTGCTCCTGGACTTGAACTCTCATCTCTTAAATGAGATACATGTATCAATGCAAAGATAAGTTATCCAAACTCATCTGAACTCAGGGGTCAAGCCTGCACTCTGTCAGATTGCATCACTTTCCCATCATCCGGTCACCCTTGTGTCCACACTTCCTGTCTCACAGCTGGCCTGCCAAGTCTCCCATGACCCTTTGCTGCTATGCTGCTGTTTTGTTTTGGGAGAATGTAGGACAGCTGGGATGAGATGCAGTCTCATGGGTATTAGTTGCCGTGGTTCGATGTGGAAAAAAAAAAAGAGCACAAGCGTGTATTCATCAGTCCGTCGTTGTCCTGCACTGTCCATTTGTGAAGTAGACCTGCCCTGTGGCTAAAATGTAAGTTTTGGTGTAAGTTGGAGGAAGTGCAGCCGTGCCAGAGGGGCTGAGTGAGCAGTGAGCATACAGAGCACATTCCAGAAGGCAGCAGAGCCCTGTGATTTTAGAAGGCTGTCACAGGGATTAGGTTACTCTGTCTGCCTCTGTGAGCTCATGCTGTTGCTGTCTCAGTGCCTCAGCAATCCTGCCGAGCAGTGGTACATTATTTGCTCTCACAGTGAAGAGAGACAAGGATCCACAATAGTTCTCTTAGGCTTGTTTAGATTATATAGTATCCAGTTGTTGTGACTTCATTCTTACCAAGAACCTCTCATGTCAGTCTGGTAAATAAAGTCACGACCATTCACAAGAATCCTGGCTGAAAACGCATACTATTCCAACTCTTTACTTCTCTTGCATATCTCAAGTATAGCGTCCCTGTATATTGCATTACCAGATGGGCCACTGGGTGTGCTCTTTGACTAGATCTGTGTGTGTGTGTGTGTGTGTGTGTGTGTGTGTGTGTGTGTGTGTGTGTGTGTGTGTGTGTGTGTGTGTGTGTGTGTGTGTGTGGCAGCAGCTGTAGACTGCAGGATGTGGTGAATTTATGTCACTGTTTCATAGTAAAATAAGAACTCACAAAGTTGCACTCTGCATCTCTGTTACACCACTGATGTGCAGTTGTTGTGGTTTGTGGGCTACAGAGTTACAGTGCTGCCTCTCAAAATTCTATTAACAAGTATAAATGTATTTTCTGAAAATCTAACTAGAAAAAACAGTGCCAGATTAGGATTAGTGGCTTTCTTCTGAGGGGAACAGTTGTGACCAGTGTTGACGCTCTTGAGAACATGAGTGGGTTACTGATTGTAACAGTGGTTGACCTGTCACTGCCCCACAACTGCTGCTATGCAGTAGATAAGATGGATGCACTTTATCAGTTTGGTATTTAGTAGTTTACAGTGCTACATATTTGCATGACACAAAGATGCTCACCCACAATTTGTGAACCTATTCTGTTTTATGATATTATCATTCTCACACACAGACCTCACTCTTGTGGTACCAGTGAATTGAAGGGTTTTTAGTATGGAGTCATTTTTGCAGATAAAACATAATATTAGGCTCAAATGATTATTTGGTCAGCAGAAAATTAATTGCAAGCAAATCTGATTGTTTTTTATCAATTCATTGTTTACAAGGCAAAGTTCCAGCTTTGGTTTTGAACTGTTGATCAGGAAAAACAAGAAATATGAAGATTTCATGTTGAGTTTTGATAAATTGTGATGGTATATGATGGTAGACCTAACGACTGATTGATTAATCTGATAAAGTATACTCCAAAACTAAATTGATAGTGAAAATAAGTATTAGTTGCAGCCCTTTACAAATATGTTTCTATTAAATTCCCCTAGCATAGTGATCAGTGGGAGGGCCACTCATTTGCTGTTATAGGAGCTGTAATGAAATCAGCTGGTGTTGAAACAGTATTAATGCAAATGGAATACCTTCTGCTGCTGCTGCTTTAGACTGTTGGTGCACTACTGGAAACCTTTTATTGTGAAGCAGCTACAGGAGCCGCTGCCTTAAATTTCCTTCATTTTTGTTCAGTTAAAAGCAAAATATTTAGAATCGACAGTCTTCTTGTTGCTTTTCTGTCAGCAGATCAGTTTTAAATATTGCGAGGGAGAAATGGATTTTAGTAGTAGCCACAGTGAGCTGGGAAAACCCTGCCGTTACCACTGGCCACCAGATTTGACCAGCTGTCTACCATTCCATACAGTCTGGTTGCCCTTGTTGACAACCACAAAGCTTGTGCTTACAGATCCTGTTTTTCCTTTATGTCTGGTATGCCTATTTTTAGAAGAGTTAGTCATTTCTTCAAAACATCTATATAAGCAGACACTCATTATAAAAGTCATAGGTTCTTAAGAAGTGATACATGACATCATTACATATGTGACAATATTTCCCACAAAATATTACCAAATCATCAACTGCATCAATTCTGGAGAGGCCCCTCTCTGCTCTAAATAAGACCATTGTGCGCTGTGGGAATGGTGTTGAATTGGGCTACCTGTTAATTCTGCCAGGCAGCAGTGTAAACAGAGATCCACAGTGGACGTGAATGTGACACCATTTGAGCAGTTTGACCTGTCTGACCTCGTGTTTAGTGCTTTGGAGTGGCGAGCGGCCTTGGCTCAGTCTGCAGCTGCGCGATTAGCTCAGAGCATCTGTCGCCTAACTTTTTGATCCTCCCTCACATCTGCACCGTCGTAAGTCACTGCGGTGTTAATGTGCACTTGGTGCTCAGCCACCTTAGACATGGGGGGTGATGGCAGCTAAAAGAAGTGAGACTGGGATGCAGTCTGTTTTCTGAAAACAGGACATGGCTGGGAAAGGGACAGTACTACACTGGTGATTCTATCATGCACTCTTAGGGAGAGTAGAGAGCGGGGGGAAAAAAGATAGTCAGGGAGGGATGTTGTAAATGGAGACGGAGCACATATACACTTCTCAGCCTCTTTGGCAGACAGTTATCCAGTCCAGCCTAGGGAGTAGAGAGATTGTTGCCTTTGTCTGGGTGAAAGAGGCAGCTTCGAGGAGAGTATATCAGCCCTTTGTTTTTGTGTGCCGCTCCCTAACATGTCTCCTAGTGTTCATTAATTTAATTAGAGATGGAAAAGGAGCAGGCAATAACATGCCATGAGATAAAGCCATGGTATACACTGTAATGTTTTTTGGTGAATTAAGTGAACAACACCCCACATGGGGAATTACAGCCCAGACCACAGGTGTCTTCTCCTTATAACTTGTTGTATGAAATGCAGCGGGTCTTTTCATTACACATTTTAGCTCAGGGCCCTACACTTGTCATGGTCTTATCCATAAATAGGGGATATGAGATGTGGCACTATCATCCACTGTGTACATTTGTTTTATGAAACGACGAACCATCTCATCAACATCTTAATTTTCTTCTAGAAAACGCTTCTTCCCAGCTCTAAGCTTATGCTTATTTATTGTTTATTCTACTCTTATTCTCCTTTTGGTGCTGCTGAAAAGTTAGCTTGGCCTCCCTATCCTCCTTATGTTTGCCTAAGATCAGGTTCTGGGCCTATCTCAAGGCCAGCTGCAGCTGAAACCTAGACACCACTGCTTCAAATAAAAACCAAGAGCTCTCAATCAATGAGGTCAGTGTGTGGTCCCTGAAGTCAGTCAGAGGGGGAAAGGTGAAACTCCATTCACTCCTATGACATCAGAGCAGCGAAGCAGCCGCTTCAGTAGTGCCTCACTCCCTTAGTGCTGACCCAAGTATCTGCAGTATTAGCCTAAGCGTAGCCTGACTGTGCTGATGGCTAGATGGGTCATAAGACCAGTTGTTGTGAATGTGCTCATTGTTGAACATGAACAAATTTTGCTTGTGGATCACAGTACCTCCAAGTCATTATTTTAGATAGCCTGGGGAACTTGAAAGTTCTTGTGAAAAGCTGCAGCAGTGGAGTTATGCTTGTAATGCAGTTCAGATAATCAGAGCATTTGTATAGGCTGCACACTTGGGGTATATTTATAGGTCATTGCTAAATTTAAAATAATATCCTACATCATTAGTGCTCAGTTACAGTTTCACTCCCTGACGTAGCCACACTGCTGACGCACAGTGCCCCTTTTCTTTACTTCCATGTTACAGTAATCTTTGCCATTTTCCTGGCTCCCAGGTTCATGTTTGATGCCTAACACAATAGACAATCGTTGGACTGCTGCTGAGAGGAAATCATCCCCTCTGTAAATTTATGAAGAATGTGGATACTGAGAGATTAGCGCTATACTCTCTGGCAACCATCAATATTGAAGACTGAAAAGAATAGTCATTTATATCTGTTATTTCAAGAATACAATTGGTGGTGGGGGAGAATTATATCTGAAGAGACTAAACTGTGGAAATAGAGGCTGGCATTTCGTCAGAGTTCTGGCCTAGTCATATTATATTTGGATAACACTGTCCATATCTTGGCATGAACATACTATTAGGACATTACATCATGGACAGTGGCTTGGTTGTGTTTAACAGTGAAGACACAAAAATGCTACAGATACAAGATTCTGGGTATCATTAAGACATCCTCTTAATTCCTTTGCATTGTCTGTTTTCTGTTTCTAGGTCAACAGAGACGTATCACAGCCCTTGAAGTTCTCAGCTTTGATGCAGTACAGGTACAGCTATCTATTTCCAAACCCAGTTTCTAAATTTGCTTTTGGTGTGTCTCTTACCTAATCATTGGGTCTTGAGCAAATGGCACAGCTGAAGAATAAAATGTGTATGAAGGGTGTGCAGACACAGTCCAAATAGTCTTAATCCATAGTTTAATTAATATCTTAGTTTTGTTTCTGTAATTAAATGCTTTCTGACTTGTCATTATTACAAAAGAACATGAAAAACCACCTACACTAACTAGTTTCCTCTGGGAAACCCTGCATCTTTTTACAACAGTAGAAAGTGTGCCATTCTGTTGTCTTTGTCATTCTAGGTGATAGAAATTGAAACTAACCTTATCACCACTGCTACTGCTACACACTGGCCAACATTGGCCCAGATTTCATCGTGTGGAGCAAACTTCATGCTGCTCAATCACCTGAAATTGTCCGTAATGTAAAATATTAATTCTAGCCTATCTGATGTCTTTTTGTCGTCTTCTCTCTCTCTCTCTCCACCAGTGTACCTAGTGCAAGATGACGGAAGAGGTGATTGTCATCGCCAAGTTTGACTACATGGCCCAGCAGGACCAGGAGCTGGACATCAAGAAAAACGAGCGCCTCTGGCTCCTTGACGACTCCAAGTCCTGGTGGAGGGTTCGAAATGCCACCAACAAAACAGGCTTTGTGCCATCCAACTATGTGGAGAGGAAAAACAGTGCCAGAAAAGCTTCTATTGTCAAGAATCTCAAAGACACACTTGGTAAAACAATTAGTTATGGTTTCTTCAAGTTTACAAGTCGGTGTTGAATTCTACTTTTGACAGTTTATTAATCACTGGCCAGAAACAATGTTCACGTTAAAAGTCCTTGCTTATTTTTATATATTAAGCTCACAAGATTCCAGTGAAAGATATTTGTACTCAAAACATTTAGATATGTTCAGTCGCTCATAACGTCTTTTTGTCTGGAGGCTGACTTACTCTGAGTTTCATGCACAGTTGGTTATTAGTTAACGGAAACAAAGTAGTATGACACCTTCTTTCTAGGCCAGCTCTACCTCTTATTTGTTTTTAACCACATCGTTGTGGTATATTATGTACTGTGTAACAGCCTCCTCAGAAAGAGATCTCAGGCTTATGTCTGATTGGTTAAAATTCTGTAAGATATTTTTTTTTAACCCATGCACTTGAAGTGAAAGTTTAGTGTCTGGTGGAAGTGTCCATAGTTTAGTGTCTCGTGTAAGGTGAGTTTTTCCATTTTACCTTGAATCATTTGCTCAGGTAAGGCAGTAATATACTTGTTGCTTCACAACTGCAGCACTTAAGGAAACTAGCTAATTTGTTTTGTGTTAACAAATCAAAATATCTCCACTTTCAGTTTGTGTGTAAGCAATCGCAACAGAGGATTTCCTCCTCCTCTTTTATCAACCAGAATTGATATGGCCACAGGTGTTGTCTCCCCTGTCAACACAACAGTAATATTTCTGGGGACTGCCATTTGCCAAGGGCTTTGTGCTGCCAGGAGCAAGGCAAACGTAACTGTGTATGTAAGCCAAGGTTACCATTTGTCTTAGCTTAATTCTTGTTGATGACAGACATTCATGATAATTTGGGATGCACTCGCTGACCACTGGCATCCATCCTGGATCACAGCCAGAGAGCCGGAGAGATTCCTTTTGCCTATGATTTCACTGTTTGATCATTTCTCTTATGTGTTTGTATAAAATGTGAAGATGTTTTTAGTTTCTGATGCTTCTCATTCTGTAATCTCCAACCTGTGTTTTGAAGGTCATCATTGCCTCAATTAAGAGCATGATGGGATAGATATGTTTGCTTGTATACTTCAGCCATGTTTTTTTGGCCCTGATATTCATTAGATTTGGTTAAAGCTTGTCCACAAATATTTGCCACTGTGGAGACTTAAAGCAGGCTAAAGCAGGCCTGCAAGATATTGACAGTAAATGGTGATGACTTGTTTTGTAATGGCAATGGGTTTGTTGTAGTTGTGATATGAATCTAGTTCTTCAAGTCATTGTAGTTTTATCCAATTTACTGTGAGGCGGAACTATAAAGCTGAGGCCAGCATCTTCTGTTTATGGGCCCATTTGACGACAACATAACATCAAACCACACTTGTGAGACTGACAAAAGAGATAGCCTTACCTCCTCTGCTCATCTTTGATGTGGTGATGACAACAAGCTCCTGCATAGGGTGACCTCTGCGAGGAAGCTCCGGGCCCCAAAGTGGCTTTTCAATCCACAAAGGCCTGAAAGAATGGGTGTGGCATTCTCACCAGAAGTGTTTCATGAATTTATAACTGTATCACACACTGCAGTGTTTGCAAAACACTTATCTGTTGGACACGGGAACTGTGTCTTCCTGTTAGCTGTTTTTTTAAGTGTCTGCTAGGGTTGTGGTTAGAAGAAGCTGGTGACAGTCAGAGATCTCTGTGCTAAAATGCTCTGAAAAGGCAACAGGAAGAGGTCTCTTGATGGATTTTATACTCTCCCCATTAATGTCAGCTTTCAGTCATGTCTCTGATAAAACTGATATTCATTTCCACAAGACTTCTTGTATTTATCACTTGACTCAAGCATATAAAGTGTTTACCTGCTCCACTTTTGGTCTGTTTTGCCCTCAAGTGTGGAAGTTTATGTATCTGTCCGTTATGTGTGGTGTATATGCATGTATGAGTGTGTGTGTGTTTGTGGTTGGGTGGGAGCGTGTGTGGTCATGCTCCACAGCCATGAGCCTCCCAACAACTTCCCACCTGCCACTACGTCCATTGATCAAATAACCTCAGGTGAACAGCTGCATGAATGACACACGAGCGCCGACACACAGGCTCAGGTCTCACTCACACATATCCTGTAAAACACGAGTTAAGGCGAAACCAAGCCTTGTTAAACACTAATACAATCATAGAACGCTTGTAAATACTTCACCTTCACGTGTTGTAGTTTATGATCTATCAGTAGATTTAGGGCATTTTAACTGGGAGGTTGTGGGTGGTTATGTTTTTCTTGTACATATACAGTATGTAGGAGAGCAATGAGAGAAGCAGCCTGAAGACCACACTGACATATGTTATGTGGGAGGAAAAATCTATCTCTCTCTTTTTTAAACAAGTCTGTTGCTGGGTGTGGAGTGGTGTCATCGTTTGAAAGAATGTGTGAGTGTATGATCTGTCTGCAGATGGCTGTGCTTCGCGCTTGTGCATTGCTGTGTGTGAGGACTCATGTTTCCTGGGTTTGTTTTAAAGTTATGAGTGTGTCTCTACAAACAACTGCAGTCATGTGACACTGAGCACTCACTGACTGACTCACTCAGCCTTTGCAGTGTCCGCACAGATGCCTATACAGTGTTTTTTCTTACCCTCTTACAAGTTTCAATCTGACACAGTTCTGTTAAAATAGCTGCTACACTTTCCCTATTTCTCTCTTCTCTCATCTCTTTTCTTTCTCGCTCTCTCTCTCGCTCTCTCTCTCTCTCTCTCTCTCTCTCTCTCTCAATCTAAGCTTCAAGCCCCCTCCCTTCTTCTTTCCCTCTCCATGAGGCCTCTGTATTCTGCCTTCTAGAGCTGGACTGGAGGCCTCTCTGTCCTGCACTCTCATTGGCTAAGCCTGACCACATGGTCAAGGAGTGGGCCGCCCTGCTCCACTGTCCGCCCAGCTCTCTGGGTGTTCCAATGGAATAACTCTACAGCTGCAGTGGGAAGAGAGCAGGGGCCGAGAAAGAGACAGAGAGAGGGAGAGACAGCGAGCCCAAAATGGACATGGCTAACCTATTCAAACATTTCTTTCGTGAGTTTTTAACTTTCCTTGTCTTCTGCAGCGGCTTAAAGTTGTTCTGACTTGTGTGTTGTTTTACAAGTGGTGAAAAGAGCTTTTGTCTGAAGTTTGAGCGGTTCTTTTTTCTCTCTCTGGCTGTACTGGAGCGGCTGTCAGTTTTTTTTTTTGTGTGTGTGTGTGTGTTTTTTTTCCTCTTCCTTCTCTGATTTTTCGTTAGATGGTTTCAGCTTTAGTTTAGCCAAATGATGTGTCATATTTAGAGCTGGCGGAAACTGACTTTTGTGCTAACATGTTGTGTTGGCAGAGACGGGGAGAAGGTGTCTTAACAGCTTTTGAGGCTGTGTCTGTGTGAGCGGCTGCAAAGACTGGGTGGATATGCTTTTGAAAAGCCTACTGCTGAGCTGAAGCCTGTAATTGACTCAGCAATCCTTCCCCGTCTCTTTCTTTTAAACACATACACACACACACACAGTAATCCTACTTCATTTCTTTCTAGCATTTTGCCCTAGTGAGTGGGCTGCAACTCAGTGAATTACATTATCATGCTAGAAGACCCCCTCTCCACCCTGTGTAGGAATATCTCAAGACATAGCCAAAGTCTGTTTTCCTTTATGCTACCCTCAGGGCGAGCTCACTCATTCAGGGAGGGTCCCCCCCACCGCCAGTCATGAGCTACAGTTGAAGGGACGCGGGGTGCTCATGTAGAACACTGTAGTCATTGTGCTGGGAGGAGGAAGGGGTCTCTGCTGATTGATGGGACCTGGGCTCCCATCTCCTGCACCTCGCTCGGTTATCAGAGGAATGTCATTACCCAGGCGGCTCTGTGGGCTGTGGATACTTTACAGCCACACTGACACACTTTTTCAAAAGCCCCTGGCGCACACCCATGCTGTAATCTCACCTTGTAACTGTTGAGTGTTATCTCCTGTCTCTCTCTATCTTCTGTACTTGTGTGTGTGTGTGGGTGTGTGGGTGTTTGTGTGTGTATGTATGTATGTATGTCTGTGTGTGTCTGTGTGTGTATATCCACCGACCGGCCTGTTTGCAGTCTAAAGGATCCAGATAGTGAGAAAAACACAGAGATGAGCTAACAAACCTTTAGCTTGTGTAAACGGAGAGCTGTTAGTCTCTATCTCCTCCCTCTGTTTTCCTGTTTCTCAGCCTCCCCAGTGAGCGGAAACTCTAATTTGAGCCACATTTCTCCGAGAACTTTGGAGGAGTGCAGGCCAGAGAGGAAGTGAGAAGTTGGGAGGAAGCTGAATCATTGTGCGGGGTCTGTCTGTTGGACTTTCTGGCAGTCTCTGTCACTTGCTCCTTCTTTTCCATCTCCCGCTTCTTTTCTCCAAACCACTGCTCAGTGTTGCCTCACCAGAAAAGCAATAAGACATAATCATAATTAAGAGATTGGTAGGAGAGTTGTCAATGTCTCTTAGGCGTAAGGTGTTTTCTCTTTTCTGTCTACACATCTTTGCTTTCCTACGTCTTCCGCCGTTAAGAATTGCTCAAGAGGAAGTGAGCAGTGGTCTGGGCTTGTTGAATTGTAGCCAGCGCTGTAAACACGTTAGTAGCCGAGAACAGTGGAAACATCTACTGCACAGCTCCCCTTGTCTATTGTTTTGAATGGTTTGTAGGGCCGCAAACGATTATTTTCATTACTGATTACCGTAATTTATATTTTTCTCAGTCTACAAAATGTCAACAAATCACAAAAGGTCAACACAAGATCCCAGAGTCCCATGGGTTTCCCAATTGACAAGCTGGAAATGGTCATTCTTGCCAGGATCATCAAAATAGTTACTAATTGATTAATTGACTTATCTAATGGTCTCTATTAGATTTGAATGGTTTTGGTAGCTCTCTGAAAGTAATAACTTTCTTTGAAGAATAAAACGTGTTTGTTTAAGTAATTTTTTTTCATGCCATGATTAGGGCTGGGTATCGAACCTGAAAACTGAAGACTGTCAACAACA